CCTATTCATTCCATGACTTCCTTCTTTCCTTCTGTTCCCATATTGCAGAGCCTTCCACCAAGAGTGTTTGGATGTGTTGCCTTTGTCCATGTTCATAAACAACATCGGAGTAAGTTGGATCCTAGGGCTCTTAAGTGTGTCTTCCTTGGTTATACCCCTTATAAAAAAAGGTACAAGTGTTATCATCCACCAAGTCAGAAATTTTTTGTTTCTATGGATGTCACCTTTCAAGAATCTGAATCTTATTTCCTGGATCTTCATCGCCAGGGGGAGAATAGTTCTTCAGAAGACTCGTGCCCTTCCTTCTTTGAGTCTGGATCAATCTTCTCTCTTCCTAGTGTGTCTGCTCCTGGTGTGTCAGAACCTTCAAATACACCTGAGATACAACCCATACTGTCTCACCAGCAACCTCAATCGTCTGAACCACTGGTAAGTCCTGAATCTCCTATTTCTTCTGAGTCTCCTGAATCTCCTGTTTCTGATTCTAATATTATTTCCTCTCATGATTTGTCTATTTCTTCTGATATCTCTAATGATTTACCCATTGCTTCTACTTCTGATGACTTACCTATTGCTCTTAGAAAAGGAAAAAGATCTTGTCACAAGAAAACTTGTTCCTCCTGTCCCTCTTGTACTCAATACCTTATCTCCCACTTTGTTTCCTCTGCTAATCTTTCTGTGCAGCACAAAAGCTTTGTTTCAGCACTAGATTCTATTGCAATCCCAAAATCAGTACATGAAGCCTTGAAAGATAGGAATTGGGCTCAAGCCATGCAAGAGGAGATGAATGCTTTGGAGAAAAATAAAACGTGGGAGGTTATTGATAGACCCAACGGAAAGAAAGCAGTAGGGTGTAGATGGGTTTATGCCCTGAAATATAATTCTGATGGCACTCTTGAGAGATATAAGGCTCGATTAGTGGCCAAAGGTTACACTCAAACCTATGGCATTGATTATGAAGAAACCTTTGCTCCAGTTGCAAAGATGAATACAGTGAGAATCTTGTTATCCCTTGCTGCCCATTACAATTGGGATATAAATCAATTTGATGTGAAAAATGCTTTCCTCAATGGTGAGTTAGAAGAAGAAGTCTACATGGAAATCCCGCCTGGTTTTGATTCTGTGAAGGGGGAAAATAAAGTTTGTAGATTAAAAAAGGCCTTGTATGGATTGAAGTAGTCACCTCGTGCTTGGTTTGGAAGATTTACTAAGGTTATGATGACCTTAGGATACAGACAGAGCCAAGGAGATCACACTCTTTTCTTCAAGCACTCCCAAAATGGGAAGCTTACTGTGCTCCTTGTATATGTTGATGATATTATTATCACAGGTGATGATTTTGTGGAGAGACAGATTCTGCAAACACGGCTTGCCTCTGAGTTTGAAATCAAAGACCTTGGGAAACTGAGATATTTCCTAGGGATAGAAGTAGCTCATTCAAGCAAAGGAATTTTTATCAGCCAGAGGAAATATGTTCTTGATCTTCTCAAAGAAGTAGGAAAGCTCGGGTGTAAACCCTCTAATACTCCTATTGAGCAGAATCACAAGATGGGCTATGAAGAAGAGAGTCCTCCAGTTGATAAAGGACAATATCAACGACTAGTTGGGAAATTGATATATCTGGCTCATACTAGACCAGACCTAGCTTATGCTGTTAGTGTTGTCAGTCAGTTTATGCACGATCCAAAAGAAAAACACATGCAGGCAGTAGAGAGAATTCTTCAGTATCTTAAAGGTACTCCTGGTAAAGGATTGTTATTCCGACGTGATGGCAATCTATCTTTAGAAGTCTACACAGATGCTGATTATGCTGGATCCGTGACTGACCGTCGTTCTACCACTGGTTATTGCATGTTTCTTTGCGGTAACTTGGTGACATGGAGAAGTAAGAAACAAGATGTGGTTGCCAGATCAAGTGCAGAAGCTGAATTTCGAGCTATGGCTCAAGGCATTTGTGAGTTACTGTGGCTGAAAATTGTTCTTGATGATCTCAAAATAAAATGTGAGGGACCTATGAAGCTGCTATGTGATAATAAGTCCGCTATTTGTATAGCTCATAATCCAGTTCAACATGATCGGACTAAACATATTGAGGTTGACCGCCATTTCATCAAAGAGAAACTTGATAGCGGGTTGATTACCACTCCATACATTCCCACTGGGCGTCAATTAGCTGATCTATTAACAAAGGGGCTTCCTTCAGACAGATTTCAAGAACTTACTAGCAAGCTGGGAATGATAAATATCTATTCCTCAGCTTGAGGGGGAGTGTTGTAAATAATATTGATTTAGTTATTATTTAGTTTTTATTTAGTCATTTATTGTTGTATTGGGCCAAGCCCTTTGTTGTATTGGGCCAAGCCCTTTGTTGTATTGGGCCAAGCCCATTAGGTTAAAAGTAGGTCAAATATTCTCTATAAATAGAGAACCCTTTGTACAGATTATTTACAATTCTATAATATATTAGAATACCCTTTTTCAAGTGTTTATATAAAAAAAAAACCATTCCCAATGAAAATAAAATAAAAACCCTCACAACGAAACCAAACTAAACTATATGTGATGAAAATTGATATTTTCACGTTAAAATTTCACATAAAATAAAAATGGAAATGAATCTTCTCTTTCACACAAGATATATGAAATTTTTATATCTAATTTTTTTTTGTTTCGAGTTTTTTCTTCTAAAAAAAATTGCTGTATTTTTTTCAAAAAGAAAATCCTTTTGAGAAAATTGAGATATTTGGATAACTTTTTACAAAATCAGAATTTAAAATAAAATTTAACATGCTGTTTTTTTATAGCTAAGGGTTGGTTGCTTTTGAAAAAAGCGAAAATTGAAAGATAATATTACTTCTTAAATTACAATTTTAATCTCATCCTATTAGTCTTGTTATCTCTTCTTATCTCACTATCATAATTTTTTTTAGCTAAAAGTCTTCCAACAACCTATCACTTTATAAACAAACATTTCCCTCTCCTTGGTTTTCATTCCTACCAACTTTGTATCTTTATAAAGTTTTTTTTCCATGTAAACTTTCACTTATAGAATCACTTATTTGTGATAAAGAGCAAAAAAAATTGAGTTCTCATAACAGCCCGATCATCTCATGAAAAATAATTTAGAGAAATTAAAAAAAAAAAATTAGTCACCCCAAACTCCACGAACAGTGCCATTAAAACATTATTACTGTTTTCATACGTAAGTGACTGCACTATCCTGTATAATAGAATTATACCAAAATCATGGTTTTACTAATTGGAATATTGCATTACGCTTTAATGTTTGTGGATTGTCTTATTGACTAGCCTCACACATTCTCCAAATTTCATATTTGCATAATTAAACCCTACATATTATGTTAAAAAAAAAAAAATTCCTTGTCTTTTTTAGTTATTTTGTATATAATTTTTTTTTGTATAACCTGGAGGTATCCTTATTCAATCTCCTCCTGTCACCTTGTCCTCAGAGTACAACCCCTAAGGCTACCCTCTCATTGAAACATCTGGTGCATTGAGCTTCGCCACCGGAGAAAGGATGAGACTAATCCTCTATTCGAAAAGAGAGGGTCCACTGGATCTTGTATAAAAGTAATTTTTAGATCATACATTCAAACCCAAAATAAATTGAACTTAAAAAAAAAACACAATGCACAAAAAAATCTTTTTTAAAAAGCTTATCCATATGGGTTCTAAATAAGTGGAGTTTAATCATAATTAACGAAGAGAGAGAGATACAAAAATTGTGAAATTATAAGAATCAATTTTCCCTAAAAATTAAAAACCCAAATTTCCTAGAATTTGTTTCTCTTTAAAATTTTTTTACATAATTTAAAAAATACAATTTTTTAAAAGAATTCTTTTAATTTTCACAAATTATATTTTGAATCTTGATAAGAGTTCAGTTTCTCTTAAATAAAATAATAAATTCAAATCTTCTAAATAAAAAAAATAAGTGATACAAAAATCTGTAATTCTGTATATCTTTCTTTGAATAAGTTTATCCGTCCACCATTTTTTTTTTTTTATCCAACTTGGTCAATTGTTACTTTCAAATGATTATACTTTAATTTATTGCCAATTAATTTGTAAGTTAATTTCTTTAAATATTTAACACGCCTGGATCTTAATTAAATTAAAAAAATCTCATGTACCAAAAGTCCAAAACAATAACTCACATTTATTATTTGAGTTGCTTACTTCCTACATGAAGGGATAATTAGAATTTTTTATTTTTTGGTAGTTACCAACAATTAACAGATTCTGTAAAACTGTTCAGATTTCTAATCCGAATTAACTAACGTACTGATTTTTCTCTGAAAATTGGGCCCTCCTTGATTTCTATTTAAGTAGTTACCTGATATTGCTCCTCCTTTCTTGTTTTTGTGTTTCACTCTACTTTTCACACAGCAGCTCCTTCAGCTTCTCTTTTCCACGCGAAGTAAAGTGTTTTTCCTCATGGTAATGATCATTATATTGCTTTATTTTGCATTATGTTCTATTATAATTCTGATGAATGTGCTTAACACTCCAAATAGCCATGGAATTTGAATTCGTTTTTGCTTTCTCATTTGCCTTTTATCTGAATTTTCATGCGCCCCAGTGTGCCAGATTTTATTTTATTTTTATCTTTATTTTTCAATTTCTTATGTGAAAACAGAATCTTTTTATGAATTTTGATGATGGGTTGTTTCCTTTTTCTCCCACAAGCTTTAGTAACATATTCTTCTCTGAAAATCAGACCCAGAATTTTTTTTTTCTTACCCTAATTAGATTTAATGGGGCGAACCAGAGTAGTGATAAAGTTTTTTTTTCATGACTGAATGGTTATGTTTTCAAATCTAGAAAACAGTCTCTTTGCAATTATGCAAGGGTAAGACTGCGTACAAAGATTGTCTCTATCCAACACTTGTTAGTCGGTTTAACTGAGAGTGTTTTTTTTTTTTTTACCCTAATTAGATTTGATTTTGATGGTGTTCTGATCCATGTTTTGGTACTAGATGCCAAGTGCTAAACCTGATTCATCTCACAAAGACTCAGAACCATTTGTTGAAGTTAATCCCAGTGGAAGATATGGCAGATACAGTGAGCTACTAGGATCTGGTGCTGTGAAAAAAGTGTATAGGGCATTTGATAAAGAAGAAGGAATAGAGGTGGCATGGAACCAAGTGAAGCTCAGGAAATTCAGTGATGACCCTGCCATGGTGGATAGGCTTTTCTCTGAAGTAAGATTGCTCAGAAGCTTGAGCAGCAAAGACATCATTGCCTTTTTCAATGTTTGGAGGGATGAGCAGCATGGCACTTTGAATTTCATCACTGAGGTCTGCACCAGTGGGAATTTGAGGGGTTATAGGAAGAAGCACAAACATGTGTCCATGAAGGCTCTGAAGAAATGGTCTAAGCAGATTTTGGAAGGGTTGAATTATTTGCATATGCATGACCCTTGTATCATCCACAGAGACCTCAATTGCAGTAATGTTTTTGTCAATGGGAACACTGGCCAGGTATTTTTTTTTTTAATTTAAAGTTTCTTTCAATCACATGTTTTATTGATTGACAAGTTTTAAAAAAAAAATGTTAATCCTTATGATTTAATGAAATTTGCTTTCACTTGATGTGTGCTTAAGATCTAATTATCAAACTTTAGCAATTCATGGGGCTCCTATATAGCCTGGCAAAATAAAAAATAAAAATCAAACTTTAGTTTTTTTTTTTTTTTTTTTTTGTCATTAGTAACATATTTGTTTTCATGTGTATATTAGGTTAAGATTGGTGACTTGGGTTTGGCAGCGATTGTGGGCAAGAGCCATTCTGCACATTCAGTTCTTGGAACACCAGAATTTATGGCTCCGGAGTTATATGAAGAGGACTATACAGAAATGGTGGACATATACTCATTTGGAATGTGTGTGTTAGAGATGGTGACACTAGAGATTCCTTATGGTGAATGTGACAATGTTGCAAAGATATACAAGAAGGTGTCTTCAGGTGTGAGACCTCAGGCCTTGACCAAGATGAAAGATCAAGAGGTGAAGGCCTTCATTGAGAGGTGCCTTGCTCAGCCAAGGGCTAGACCTTCTGCTGCTGAGTTGCTCAAGGACCCTTTCTTTGATGAACTTGATTATGACGAAAATGATGACTCTGCTGCTAGTTCATGAATAAAAATATCTTTTTATGTGATAATATGTTGATGTGTTATTCTTTTTTTTTTTTTTAAAGTTGAGTTATCCCTTTTTTAGTTGATAAGTCAATTAGCATTATTAGGCTTGATGACTGTGTCATTGTTTTGATATTTCCCTTTGTTGGGCTGTGAAATTGGATGTATTGAAGATACAAGGTGTGCTTTCTTGTACATAGAAATTTCTCACTTATATCAAAGCTTTAGTATTTCTTGGTATAGTTTTATGTTGAATTTAACTATCTACTAAATAATTTCTGTTTTATGCATTTCTACATACTACACAAAAGGTTTGTCATCTCTGCTATTATAGTTCAACATATGTCCATTTGTATTTGTTTTCTTTTGGTGAAGAAGTGTTTGCATTCTGAACAAACTAAATCTCTAGTGCTAAAAAAGGGTATTTTTTCAGATATTGGAACAATCCAAAGCAATGGAAACTTGAAAAGTGTCACATCATTTGATTTTAAGTCAAAGATAAAGGGTAGTCAAAAGTTTGAATGAGTTTTGAGCAGCAGCATCATATAGGATTTGAGGCCAGCCTGGAGGTGATAATTTCAACAAGCAAATGAGTTGTTCAAATTTTGAAAATTTGGCTAATGGCTTTTGGAGTATAGCTAAGGTTAATGTTAAAGGGAAGCGGGTATGACCAAAAGGGCCTTTAAGTAGTCTTGCAATCCCACCCAATTTTGTTGGGAAATTATTGTAGTGACGTGTCTGTCCTGTCTCATTTGTTTTTCTTAAGAAGCAATGGTGGAGTTAGATTTTGACTTCTAAATTTGTTAACTTTATTGGTTCATTTTCAATATATTTTTTTTCTTTTTTTGGTGAGGGATATATTTTTTTTTTTGGATAAACTACAGGTATCTTGTTCAGGGCGGTTGCGTCAATGAGATAATTTGGAACACAAACATTTTTGCTTTTTTTGGGTTACATCTCCAACGTGTTTTCGTATAGCATGGACATTAAGGAAATAATGATAATATCAAATTTTGTAATAGTATGCTATACAAATATTGTCAAAATAATAAAGAAAGTGAGTGTTCGATCATAGAAGGATCGAGATGTCCAATCATATGTTGGTATGTTTTTATAGGATTTAGATGTCTTCTCTTAGGTATCTATAGGGAGGTACCTTAGAGAATAGCTACCCACTATGCACTATAATAACGATGGAATAGCCAAATGATAGGGTATGTGCACAGTGACAGCTAAGAAAGAGGGGTCAGAAGTTGTGTACCTGATTGTCTTAACCCTTTATTTATATATAGGTTACCTGATAGGAGTAGACTTTTGGGCCTTTTAGAAATATTGAGGGTCTAGTTCTTGATCCACCGTCGCATTAAGATTAGTATAACTAGAAAATCTTTCCTTAATTTTCCTCTTAGCTGTTAGGCCTTTTAGAATGTGGGCCTTTTATGATAGATCCATAACAGTGAGCAAGACTGTTGTGATTCATTCAATGTGAGGGAGATAAGGAAGGTCAGATGAAAATAGATCCTCTCACTTCTATGTATGTTTAAAACCTTAAGTTTAAAAATCATGATTATATTAGGGGGAAAATTTTGTCCTTTTGAAGGATATATAGTTGTGTCATTTTAAGAGAGAGAAATATATAACTTAGAATTTTTTTATTTAAAATTTAAATTTAAAAAAATCATTCACTTTCTCTCCCATGATTTTCATTACTTGCACTCACTTTCTCTCCCATGATTTCTATTACTTGTGTCTTTCTCTCACTTAAAATGACATAACTCATTGTCCTTTAAAAGGACAAACACTAAATCCATTATATTATTGCTCTTTTTTTTTGGATAATATTATTGCTCTATTCTTATGATATACTTAAGAATAATCGTTCTTTAGTGAAGTAATGCTTATAATTTTATTTCAATATATACTTAAGAATAATCATTCTTTAGTGAAGTAATGCTTATTTTTTCTTTTTTCTTTTCATTAATTATGATTATGATTAAATGTATATGGTTCTAGAAGGAGGTCTTATTGATTTAATGTAAGAGTACATCACATAACCGATGAAAGATATCGTTGAACTACGATCCATTGATTTATTTCATTCTATATTAATTTTTTATGTACCGTGTACAAAATCAGAATCAATGAAATAAAATAAGTTTCATTTTTGAATTAATCGAATAATTCAACATGAATGATTATTCCCTTCACATTCATATTCTCATCAAGACAAACCTGATTAGTCAGGTGTTTGGACGATGTACGTAAATCGTTTGTAGAAAATAATAATAATGGAAACCACAAAAATGTTGCATACTGATAAGAATATCATAGATTCCAAACCCAGAAGGAAGAATATCAAAAACATAATAAGAGGGTGTTATTTACAACAAAAAGATTACTCACTAAAGTTGATTGTGATTAAACGCAGGAAGAACGAGAATTGATTGAGAGAAAAAAAAAAGAATGAGGAGAGAAAGGATATTTGGGAAGAAAATTAGGAAAGAAAAATAAATTCTTTTCTTATTGAATGTTAATAAAACCGAACCGACCAGGGAACCGGTAAACCGGTCATATAATCGGTCCGGTTGAAGCAACGGACCGGCCATGCATCAGAACTGGTGCGACCCGACCGATTTTCATGAAAATCAATGACTCGGATGATTAACCAGTGACCCGGCCCGGTCCCAAAAATAAAAATTTCCAAAATTGTTTTTTTTTTTAAATCATAATTGACATATTTGAATATTTTTTTTGCTTATTGACTTACATAAGTTATGTACCTATAACATTAATATTATCTCAATTATGCACTATGCAGAAATTTTAATTTGATTTATAGTTAGAGATGTCATTTACTGAACCTGAAGCCCCGTATCACGATCATTATATTTTTGTTTGATCCTTTATTAGATAATAATATGTGATTTATTATTTTTTATATTAAAATATTTGAAATGGTTATCAATTTTTTTAGATATTTGAGAATGTTTATAATTTTTTAATATAAATTATAGAATTGCATATAATTGCATATAAATTAGCGCAATTTTAAAATGTAATTACTGAAATAATTAACTTTTTAAACACATAACCAAACTAATACAACCAATCTCATACGTTAACTAGATAAGACTAATCTCACACGTTAATTAGCCATATGTGATTTGTAGTTATCATATGGCTAACAAGTCCTGCATGGAGACTAGTCTCGTACGTCAACCATGTGAGACTTGCAGTGTATATTGCCAAATTGTTACTATTGTTTTTATTATTTTTGAATTATTGGGTTGTTTAAGTAGATAGTAGTTATTTTATTTGTTTTGTTATTTGAATTTCAATTTTGGTAGAGGATAGGGGATGATTATCAGTGGTGACTATTTAATGTTAATGGGTAGTTACTCTTATGGTTGGCTTGTATTATCTATTTCAACCTTAAAGCATTTGAATAAAGATCATCAGATAAGAAGAAATATTTTGTGCACTTCTTTGTGTACCTGAGGCAGGGTTCCCTCAGTTGAATTCAAATCCCCAATTTTCTTCCAAAACATGTGTATTAGAGTTAGGCACCAGTCACTATGAAAAATAGTTGGAAAAATTAGAAGATGCAGTTCATGCACTCTTCATTCAATTGAAGGAGGTGTTCACCAAACTCTCTATTCAGCTAGATGCTCTAATACCAATCACCAAACTCTCTCATTTCCATTGTTCTATTTCATTCCTAAGGCTTCCACACTCAAATATTTTTCTCTTTCTCTCTCTACCAAATGAGCAAAACCCCTTAACAGTACCATTGTTGTAACACCCCATTATCGACTGGTGTGTTATCATCACATATGATATTAAACACAGTTACAATCATGATAGTTCATTTAAAAATACGAGAAAACTTTTTCTTTTGATAATGTTTACGATTTAAAACCATCGTATTACACAATTAACAACCCATGATCATAACAATTAAATAATTGCGAAATAATAATTTCTAATGCTTTAATATCATATAATGTCTATCAAAGGTTGCCAAGTGATTCCCATAAACCAACAAAGCTTAAATACTCACTTTCACATTTTTCAGATTTGAGGTACCTCCAGTTTTATTAACACTGCACACGATTCACCCTACCAAAAAGAACCAATTTTTGATATGTTAAACTATACTCTTCTAGCTTTCCAACGAGGTATCACACGCCTCAATTGGAGTTGTATAGCCCCAGGTATGATCGTCGTAAGTCATGCGTTCAAAACTGCCAACATTGCAGTTCCGGGTTCACCAAGTTCCCTCACGATTTCTGTCACTACAGGAGTTATACTAATTCAACTGCTCTCAAATTTTCATAAGATATATTAGACACCTAGACCTTCAATTTTATTTATCATAAACTTAAATTGGGTGAGAAATGAGGGAGATATTGAATTTAAAAGTGGGCAAACCGAAAGCACCACTCATTTGCCAGTTTCGAACAGTCTTGACTCAAATCGACCTAGGGAACGAACCACAACTTAGAATCATCCCAAATTAGAACATAATAGAGGACATCCTAAGCTTTAAATTGGTGGGCCACGCACCTCATTTTATGGAGAATTGAGGGAGATATCGATCTCCAAAGTTAGGGTGAAAACCTAACTGTTTTCTGGAATTTTTGGTAGGATATATTTGTTTCTACAACTAATCCTCTTTATTTTAAGAGTAAATACCCTTTTTGATCCTCAGCAAATTTTACGATGCCCGCTTTAGTCCCTAGAAAATAAAAAGGCTCATCGTGGTCCCTAAGAAATTCAAAATGGACCCATTTAGTTGAAATCGTGGTCCCTCACAAATTCAAAAAAAATCCATATTAGTCCTCAAAAGGACTAAGGGCCCGTTTGGATAAGCTTTTGGAAAAAGAACTTTTTATGAGTTACTTTTTTTAAAAGAACTTTTTTTAAAAGTTAAAGTTATTTTGTGTTTGGATGTAATATTGGAAAAGTATTTTTAAGTAAAAGTATCATTTGGATGTTAAAACAAAAAAGCACTTTTTAAATATAAAATAACTACTATGCCCTAAAGTAAACAAACGACATCGTGGGT